GTGGGTACTGCTGTGAGGATGACTGGTGCAAATGCTGTTGCTGCTGTTGTTTCTCGTGCTGGGAGGCCTCGCTTGAGCAATGCAGCTTTTCATTGCTGGGAGTCGGTCTACCCTCAAACTCGGCGCGTGCTTCGGTCAGGAAGTCCAGAGCAGACTTCGGATCGGACAGGAAGTGCTGATCTGCAAAGGGCAGCTCTGGCAACTTTGCACCCGGGGAGAAGGGCATGGCACCTGAGAAGAAAAGTGGATTCCTGTTAAACCTGCCGGAGGCATTGTGTATAAATCTGATGGGAATCGCTTTAGTTATTTATTTCCTGCTCCAACTGTAAAAGTTGGTCGCAATAAAACTATGCAGAAAACGTTAGCTGTACAGCTGAGTTAGCATCCTTTCATGCCAAAACCCTTAAACAAAATTGTATTTGAAAAAAATGCGGAAAAATAAAACTTATGCCATAAATGTCATTGTAGAATGAAGGTAATAATAATGGCTACACGTGATGTTTCAGACACATTTAGGCAAACGAGACCTGACTGAGGCATTTTCCGGTTACTGAAAATAAAATTCACTCTTGAACTTTCCAAGGTAAACCTTACTTTCACGTGCTTTCATGAAATTAGGCCTATCATGTATATCAGTTGTTCTTAGTCACTAATGTGATATGGTCGATCTCCCTGTACGTACTGTCCCAAATTAGAGCCACTCATGCTTTGCGATCCAAGGGTAGATTCTTTAAAGCAAAGTTCCCCAGGTGCAAATGTGAAGATGGCAAAAACAGCAGGATTTATTGGACCCATGAAATTTGGGGAGAGCTCTTCAGATGCTACCTCTCATTATGCAATGAAAGGTAGCAGCTGAAGAGCTGTTCCGAAATTTCATGGAGCCAATAAATCCTGCTGTTTTGCCATCTTCAAGTTAGATTCCTGTTAGTTTGTGTCCGCTGAGGTGTTATGGGGTCTTTATGCACTAGCTCAGTTGGCTACCATTCGGTAGCGCGCGTAGGTCAAGGTCCGTAACCAGAACCTAGGTAGCTTAGATTGTGGTTATATTCATCTTCTGCTTTCCTTTGTAGTGCAACTTTAAGCATCTCAGAGGATGACGGAGCATATTGCATGCAAGTTGCAGGCGTCAGGTTCTTTTCTATTAACGTTGCCCGTGCTCAGTCATGATATACCCATGCGGTTGAGAACCTACGGATTATCTGTGATTGCCAAGGGGTTCCAGTCTGCGTAGCTGACATTAACCCAGTTAGTGAAGACTCGAAAGTGTCGTTTCTTCTGAAAGCCGTAGCTCCAGTTCCACTCTACAAGTCCTTACCTAGCCACAGAGAGGCAGTACAGGCTAGGCTCATGATCTCCCTGGATTGAATGACGACAGAAACCACTTAGTCTAAGAGGCAAACCCAGTCTTTTTAGGGTTTTCATTTTTCTAGTCTTGCTCTAGCATACATCCGCCGAAGGCTAAACTTACTTGGATCTTAGTCAACACCCACACGCAGAGATATTCTAAACTAGTAAAAGCTATTTCACATTTAGAGACACAGGTAATACACAACCCGGTGCTGCTCTCTTGACAACGGGCAGAGCCTGCCTTCGTCAAGTTGTTAGAACATTAGATATACGCATTGTCAGTGTGTATCCCTTTCCCACCGTACGGCTAGGGTATTCTAGCACCAAAATAGCTCTCACGCAAGTCCTGCTTGATAAGATACTTAGCAAGTGCATGATTCAGCGATAAATGCCTGTTTTAGCATTTTGCGGCTAGCCTGACGCAATATTTTCCCGACCGGTTTTCGTAGGGGGAAAAGGGGTAGGGGGAAGGGGTGGCCTCGCGTGCACTAAAAACAACTACACTGCG